CAAGGCAATCGAAGACATGGCATGGTTTGGCTACAGTGGTCACTCAGTGTAGCAGGAAATATGTTCCCTACTCCCAGGTCTTTGAAATATATTCGGTAGTGGAGAGATTTTCTTTTAATTCCAACACTTTTCCTTGGAGGAGTAGATAGCCATATAAATTTGTTTAATAAGTAAATAGTTGGTTTGATAGTGTTGTTGCTCCTATGGGGCTGGGGGTGAGGTTTTAATGTTGTAAATTTTAATGTTGTGAGCCATCCGGAGTCACCTGGGTTTGAGATGGGAAACCATATAAACTTGTGTAATAAATATTTATAATATACAACCTCTTTATTACATTTACTAAGTCAAGTGACACATTTTGATGTTTTCACAACACATTAAACTGTACAGGATTTAACCACAGGGAAACTAAAGGTAGGAGGAGCAAATGAAAAGTAATGGCTCCAATGTTGTAGGTCACCAACAGATGGCAACAATGACACATTAGAAGTTGTGACGTGTTCTTTAGCATCTGCTCTTTTCACTTGGTGGGAAGTTGCTGTGAGAAAAGGTTATCATGATATTTATTCATGAAATGGAATCCTGTATTAAATACTCAGTATACTTCAATCATGATTGGTTATTAGTCTGCTGAAAGAGCCCCCCAATTAAAATTCATCAGCAAATGCAGGTTGTTTATATTGATGACTGTGCTGACATGTGTACTGATAATTTGCCCTGGTCTTGGGGAAGGGTGGATGGATTCCCCCAATTCATATTTATTAGGTGCTGTCTAGATTGCCATCTTATAACTATATTGTGTGGAAGGTATATTCTTTACTAAATTCTTAATAATTTGTTTTGGTATTTTTTTTAAAAAAATTGTGAACTCCCCAGAGTCACAGTTGTTTGGCATCAAAAATTCAATCAAATAAATGCATAAATAAAGTGCATCATTGGGTCAAAAATATACTGTAAATATGGTGAATTAGAAAGAGCTGATGTGCATATCAAGTACCAAGTGGACAACTTGTGACAGCAACCAAATTTCACATGAGAAAGTTTGATTCACTGATTAAGGACAATTGGCGTATCATTCAAAGGGAAATGGCTGTCAAGCTTGACAATTCACAGGAGTGTGTGGGGTCACATTATTGATGTTCTTCAAAATCAGAAAGTTTGCAGCAAGGTAGGTTCCTCACAGGGTGATGGTAGAGAAAGCTTTAAGAGTTGGAATTTGCCAGCAGTTGTTGTCATGCTACAAGAATGAAAGTGAAGAATTACTTCACAGCTTGATATCTGACAAAACATGGGGCACATTGTTATGACCCAGAAATGAAGCATTAATCTACAGAATATCATCAGAAAATGTCACCTATGGAAAAAGCATTCAAAAGTCAAGATCTGGCAGAGAGGGCTATTTCTATGGATTTCCTTGAACCTACCACCACTATTAACATACAGTGCTACATTGCAACATTCAAAGCTTTGAAACAAACAGAATTTGAAAACACAAACATATTTTTTTTTGCTGCAACATGACAATTCTAGGCTTCACACCTCACCAGCCAAGAGGCAATTGTGAAGTTGCATCTTATCATCTTACACCATCTGGCATGCAGTCCAAGATGGTGTCATAGAACTTCTATCTTTTCCAAAAAATTAAGAAACACTATGTTTGGGAATGTGACTCAGTGAGGTTGAAGGAACTATCATGATGTGGTGGAAGAGAAAACATGTAGAGTTTTTTCATGATGGCTTTATGAAATTTGCTTATCATTGGCAGAAATGTATCGCAAACAGTGGTGATTATGTGAAGAAGTAAATATAAGGTAACAAAATAGCTCATTTCAGGGATTATTTCCCTTTCATATATTAAAACATCCCTATTTAAACTAAAGTTATTGTGGTAGAAGCATTACTTTTCATCTGACTCCTAGTGCAATCACTCACAACGTGCCCTGATTATAGAAGTATTAATTGTAGTGTGAATACAGTGTATCCAAATGTGAAATATTGCACCACTTTGTGAAAGCCAACAAAGGAAGGGGACACTATGGGTTCTGTAAAAAACCTCTCATAAACCTAGGTATGTAATATGGTTTTAATCTTCACTGGCTCATTATTGCTCCATCCACCCAGCACCACATCTTAACTCATTACTTGTATAATGGGACCACATATATTTAGAAAGTACTGTGGAAGTAACACACACAGAGAGCCTCATCTATAAATATCCACATGCACAGAGATATAAAGGTAATGCTGAAGCTGGAAAATCAAATAAAGCAGCTTTCTGCAGGATGGAAATTAACATTCTTGGGTCATATAACTTATGCTCCTCCTGCATAAGTGCTCCCCCTGCACCAGCCTTCTCTGCATCCTTCTCCTTTAGTTTTCCCCACCTACAACAGAATAATCCATCAGCTTAAAAAAACAAAGCAAAAAACCAACAAGCTGGATGTATCAGGCACCATCCTGTAATTTCCCTTCAATAATAGATCACAAGAGGATTGGCTCGGTAGCCCTCTCCTACTCTTCCACCTCCTCATTAGCTTTACTACACTTGCTCCATTTAGAAACCATGTGAAAATTAATGGAGTACTAATCATGTGCAGAAAAGATATTAATAGCCTGAATCCCCTCCTACCCACAGCCACTTTTTCTCATTTTTCTCATACTGATCTAGGAAAAAAGAAAAAAAAAACACAGCCTGTACAACAAGGAATTAATAGGGTTATGAAGCCATTAAGTACAGTATCCCTGGTGCTTCTGTTAAAAGAGATGCATAACTAAGCTAGGAGTAAGCTATATATAGGCAATAAGGGAATTTCGTTTCTTTAAATTTGGTTGAGTGAAAAAAAAATATTTGCAAGAATTCCTAAAACAGCTGGGTTTATACAGTGATATATAAGCATGTAATTACATATATGGTATGATTACAATTATAACATTATACTGTATATTCTCATTCAAGATCCCTACATTGAGAGGAATTAAACCAAAATTCACCAATCAGCTGAAGTCACACAGGACAGCTGCAATCAAGTTTGAAATACCCAGACACAGAAATATTTTAACTTGGTACTCAAAAGTAGACATGGTTAGCACAAGCCATCTTTGTCCTTAGAGGTATGTTCTGAAGTCAGATCTCTGTCAAGGAAATCTGTCGTCCATCTGTCCAGACATGTTAAACTCGTGACGTCACGTGACATCACGCAACGTATCGGGGCGGTTTTGCTATTGCCGGCAATGGGGTAGGTGCGGCTTCCGCATGACGCTTCCGGCCTGTGGGCTGGCAGTTTGACACCCCTGATTCTAGTCTATTCCTCTAATCAAAGGCATCACCTGATGCTCTTAACAAAGAAGGAAGTTGACACAGCATGCGCTTAATGGGTTTTGAAATAAAGGAGCATAGAGCATGCACCAAAGATGCAAAATATAACATTCATTTGGCAATACTGGATCCAAAATTATATCTTAGAGACTTAGATTGTGTACCTTTCTTTACAAAGGACATGGAGCTCTGTCCAGAAAAAAAAAGATATACACCAAGATCCTTTTGCATTACTCAGCCCCCCATTTTATAAGGATTCCCTTCCAGTTTTCTACACATGTCCCAAGCCCATGATGAAAATAGGCATCTCCACTCTATGAAATAACATGAAAAAAACAAAAACTCTATGGAATACTTTACTACAAAACTTCAGATGACTTTACCCGGTATCTTTACAGATAAAGATTATGTATATAAGATAGACTGTCGCAGACACCAAAGGTCTAAAACAATAGGCTGAACAAATATGTTGAACCCTCTTTCTGAAATCACTCCTGCGAATGAAGCTCCTAGCTTCAACTCCCAGGTCTATCTGAGTAAGAAAATATGGTCAGCAATTCAAAATATATAAATCACGGGTGTCAAATTCGATTATGTCCCATGACGTATCATGATGTTTTTTTGCCTTTGTGGAGCCGGGGTGGGTGTGGCCTGTGTGTGATGCATCCAGCCTACAGGCTGCCAGTTTGACACCCCTGATATAAATAAACCAGAGAGAACCAATACACTGTTAAATTATGATCTTCCTTTCACCTCAGAAAGTTAAATATTAAACCCCAGCCTAATTGCACTTAAATTGATTTAAATACAAGTAGTCCTTGACTTATGACTACAACTGGGACCAGAATTTCTACTGCTAAACAAGGCGGTTGTTAAATGAGTTAATGCTTGATTTTATGACCTTTTTGGCATGATTATTAAGTAAATCACTGTAGTTGTTAAATGAATAACAAAGTTGTTAAGGAAATCCAGCTTCTCCTTATTGATTTTGCTTATTGGAAGCCATCTGGGAAGGTTGCAAATGGTGATCACATGACCATGGATGCTGCAACCATCATAAATACATGTCAGTTGCCAAGTGTCTGAATTTTGATAATGTGACCACAGGAATGCTGCAATGGTTGAAAGCCTGAGAACCAGTCATAAGTAACTTTTTCAATGCCACTGTAACTTGAAAAGGTCACTAAACGAATGGCTGTTAAGCCAGGAATGGTCTTGTGATGTTTTACTTTACAACTGCACCATGCATAAATTCAAAATTCAAATTTATTTGATTTATATACCGCCCTTCTCCCTTGCGGGACTCAGGTCAGTGAACAGGCACATTAATAAGTTTGGGACCAGCATAGTTGCTGGTCCCAAACTGCAGTTGTTAAGTGAGGACTACTTGTACTTTGACCCTTAGCAGCTTTCCTGCAGGGGTAATCAGCAACTTGGAATGGATATTTAACTCAATCAAGATTAAAGTAGATGCAGTTAACATGACTATTTTCCTTGTATTTAATCATTCTCCACTTCTGTCACACTTAAAATCACAATTGGGTAGCAATTTTTGCATACACCCGAGGTTCTCAAGAGCTGAATGCACTCTGGGATCTCAGGTGACACACTTCTTAAAAGAAGGGAAAGCCAGGCTGCACAGCAGATTCCCCTCTGTAACAGAGGATCTCTTGATATAGGGTACCTGAAAGAGCTCAGAGTCATCTGTGCTGTACTGACTGGATTCTGTTTCAGAGTGCTCACACCACCACTGGAACTCGCTGAAGCAATTGGCTGAGTCAAAGTCACTGGTATCCAGCGGAGACAAATCAATCTCTGGGAAATCAGAGTAAAGGTGCTCCTCACCAGAGACTTCGTACTATGAAGGAAAGGGGGAAAAAAAAAAGAATAGTGAGTTTTGCAATTTATAGTGCCTGCCTACAAATTCTTGATTTCTTCATGCCAAATAATACACTTGCATTGTTGTACATTATATTGTATTACTGTACACTTGCAGCTGTACATATAAGACCTTAAATGTTTTGGGTGCTCAATTTACCACTCCCACTCCCATAAAAAGGAGTGCAAAAAGAACAAGCCTTCCTGGAACAAAAGAAGCCTTTAAATAACTATAAGCTATTATGGGCGCTTTTTAAGTTCTGAAAATGTAGTATTTCTGCATATAATAATAACAACAACAACAACAACAATAATAATAACAACAAAACAACAACAACAACAACAACAACAACAACAACAACAACAACAATAATAATAATAATAATAATAATAATAATAATAGATAAGAAAGACAAAAAAGTCTGGATAGTGGATGTGGCAGTGCCTGGAGACAGCAGAATAGACGAGAAAGAACTGGAGAAGATAACAAAATACAAAGACCTACAAATAGAAATAGAAAGACTGTGGCAAAAGCAAGCAAGGGTAGTACTAATAGTAATAGGCGCCTTGGGTGCAATCCCCCCAAAACTGGAGCACCACTTGAACATCATTGGTATTGACAAATTCGCCATTAGTCAATTGCAAAAGGCGGCCTTACTAGGAACCGCCTCCATCCTGCGACGATATCTGTAATAACATCAAACATCTGCCTATCCCAGGTCGTTGGTAAGGACTCGATGGATAGACAAAATGCTAAGTTCAGTCTGAACATCTGGCTGATTGTGCGATTAATAATAATAACAATAACAACAACAACAACAACAACAACAATAATAATAATAATAATAATAATAATAATTATTATTATTATTATTATTATTATTATTATTATTATAATGTTGGAAGGGACCTTGGAGGTCATTTAGTCCAACCCCCTGCTCAGGCAGGAGGTATGCTCAGCCTGCTCTTCCATTATTATTATTTTTTGAAAACAGTTTAACAGCATAAAAATGTGATCAATAAAAATGTAAAAATATAAACAGGCAATATCACACTAATCTCGTAAGTGGCAGAGAAGCCACAAATGACAGCCCTAGAAAAACAAAGGTATTTCTAAGCAAGCTTTAAACAGAGATGAGCAATTTGTGGTATGCAGACTTTCAAAGACCTCTTCTGCATTTGCCAACCATGCTGCTACCCTTTTCTCTAACTAGGCTGAGAAAGAGGACATATGAGGACAAATATCTTACCACAACCTTTGGATTTACAAAAGCTTGATCTTGTTATGAAACAGTGCATTTGGTCAATCTATGCTGCATGACATTTTCTCACTTGCTAAAAGCAGTAGAGAAACCTTTTCTTAAAACTGCCGGATGAGAGAGGTTTCATGTGCATATACAGTATATGTTGGGGAAAGTTCAGTATGTATTCACACATGTGCAGCCTCCATCACACATCTTGATATTATACATGTTTTGGGGAGTTAAAAAGGGCAACATGCAGTAGAGCAAGGATAACATATAATAGCACTGCTTTACAGAAACGGAATCATTTAGCTGTCAAGTTGAGCTTTTGAGAAGTTGCCTAGGGTTAGACTTACTTTTTAGGCCACAGGCAGATAGATTGTTTTCTACCTATTATATCCATAGAAGACACATATTGCTAATGCATATGTAATTGAGAAACCCGGTGATTTTGCAACTAAAAATACAATAACATAAAATATAATCCAGGCATATTTTAGATCAAATTCATGAGTAATGGAGGAAAAAGAAAGAATTATCATTTTGCAAAAAATCAAAACTCTTTTTTTCCCAGGTCACTTTGAATGCAAATTTAAATAGGCCAGCAGTGTGCTGAATTAGGGCATTGTTACCCCTCTTTTTTAGAAAAAATCATGGGGTTTCAGATTTTTTATTATAATTATATTTTCCTAGATTATCTCCAGACTATTGGCAGTTAGATACTGTACATGGAAAAATATGACTACTACTATTTGATTATTTACTTTAAATGCATGTGTAGATTCTAAAAAAGAAATCTACAATAAAGCAAAATAAAATGCTTGCTACTAATATTTCCATTTGGGAATAATGCTGCAGACGTGGCCAATTTTCTCAAAATACATTAGTTTTGTATTTCCTACATTTACATGACTATAACATTATGGAGATTCAAAATTTAACAATTTTTTGTTCTTAGAAATACATTCCCACTGTTTCCTAGTCTCAGGAGGCCAAGACTTCCTGAAAATAGTTCTGATGGTTTCTTCCTTTTTCAGCGGGGGGGGGGGGGGGGGGAAACAGAGGGAGGAGTTATTAGTGACAGATAGCATGACATTTTAAAGTCTGTGTCTGCTCACGGAAACAGAACCCCCTCCAATCACCTTTTAGCATAATCTTTCCAATTAAAAATGGCTTATTTCAATGTTACATTAAACAGAGTTACTTTACTGTACATGTCCCTCCCCCCCAAAAAAGGCTTACTCCTTAAGTGAAAAGGAGAAATTGCAGCAGGTGGCAATAAAAGATTCTGATCCTCTTTTTTCCTGAGATATTTTTCAACTGGATGTTATAAAAAAATTGTGATTTAAGAATTGGCTCCATTTTTTTAAAATTTCTTTTCCTTTCCCTCATCTTCTGTCATATCATTTTCAATGGTTAAGTCTGTGGGCAGAAACAGCATTTATTTCATTGGCTGAATGTTAGATGCTTTGGATAGCTTTCAAGCTGAAAAGAAATGTGTGTGGTGGTAGTGGAGGAGGAGGAGGAGGAGGAGGAGGAGGAGATTTAATTAAATTACATAAATAATACATAGGAAATTCCCTTGGCCACAAAGACATGTGTTAGAATAGTCTTCCCCAAACTGATGTTTCCAGATGTGTTGGACTAGAATTCCCAGTATAAACAACTAGGGAAAGTGAAATGGTGGTTGTGAACTACTGCTCCACAAAAAGTAGAGTTCCAGGTCATTTTTGATTTCTTAAGAGAAACCACTCCAGTCTTCAAAAGCACAATGTGGCCCTAAAAGAATAATAAGAATTACCTTGAGGTTAAGATGGATGGTCAATATTTTTACAAACAAACAAACAAACAAACAATCTTACTACAACAGTAAGGAAAAAGGGAAAATCTTAGAGGGTCCTCCACGTAGTGTTTAAAAGTTGATAATCCCATTTTATGCAGATATTTCTGCATAAAAATGACCTAAACATGATATGTTTTCCACACAAGTTGTAAAAGTAGATAAAGAAATGAATCAAAGACATTATATTTGTTCATTTATTGAGGAAAATGATTCAAAGTTACCTATATCCGTATGCAAAAAGTATGTGAACCTGTAGTTCATTTGAAAGATTAAATTGAGTTAGCTGTTTCAATCAAAGACATCACAATCATGTGAATGTGGGAAGTTCAACTTTATTTAAAGAGTTATGAACTTCACTTTCAAAGTATAAACTTCACAACACAGGTATAGGGAACTATGTCATGGCCTGAACAAAGGAAATTCCTGAGGATTCTGAAAAACAGTTGTTGATGCTCACCAGGCTGGAAAAGGTTACAAAACTATTTCCAAAGAGTTTGGTCTTCACTAGTTCACTGCAAGACAAATAGTTCACAAATGGAGGCATTTCAACACCATTGTTACCCTCTCCTGGAGTGGTTGACCAACCAAAATTATACCAAGAGCAAAAGGTGCAATACACCAGGAGGTCTCACTGAACTCCAGGGTAACATCTAAGGAATTAAAGGCCTCTATTGCATTGGCAATTGTCAGGGTTAACCACATGGCTAAGTCAGAAGGCTACTGAAAGAACAGAAAATGTAATTTTTTGAATGAAAAATGTTGCATTGGTGAAAGACAATCACTGCATCCCACCATAAGAACCTTATCCTGTCTGTGAACATGATGGTGGCAGTATCATGATTTGGGCTTGATTTGCTGCCTATGGACCAGGATCGCTTGCCAATGTTGCTGGAACTATGAATTCTGAATGGTACTACCAAATTCAAAGACATGTAGGCTTTTATGAACAGTAGCTCAAGAGCAAGTGGGTCACACAGCAAGGCAACAATCCACAAGACCCAAGTTGTATGACCAAAAAATGGCTAAAGCAGAAAAAAATTAATATTTTGGAAGGGCCAAGTCAAAGTCTTGACCTTAATCCTATAAAAATGTTGTGGAAGATCCTGAAGTGGGCAGCTCAAGCAATGAAGCACATCAATGTTTCTGAGTTAAAGTTGTTCTGTAAGGAAGAATGGGCTAAAATTCCTTCAAGCTGATGTACAGGGGTGATCAACAGTTATTGGAAATGTTTCGATGCAGTCATTGCTGGTCAAGTAAGGCGCCCTACTTACTGAAAGCAAAGATTTACATATTTTTGCTGCACACAAATATGTAACTTTGGATAATTTTCCTCAATAAATAAATGAACAAATATAATGTTTTGGACTCATTTGTTTAATTCGGTTCTCTTTATCTAGTTTTAGGACTTGTGTAGAAAAAAAGATCTGCTTTAGGTCATATTTAGGTAGAAATATTGAAATTTCAAAATGGTTCATAAACTTTTAAATAGCACTGTATAAGCCCAGTCAGAACAGAAGCATGGAAGCATTTGAAGTTCATGATTTTGGTTCAGTAGGCATAACAATTGTCTCCATTCTCTCTGGCTTTTATTTTTTTAGCTTTTCTTTTCCTCCTGAGACCTTTCACCCCAAAACTCCATCCTTCACCTAAATGTAGCTCTGCCACATTCAAGGTATTAAAAGGCAATCCCTTCAAACTTCAATATTTCCTTATCCCTTGTGACAATCTCTTCGTACAGAAACAAGTTTCTCTAGACACCTATTCAATAAAGGCTCTAACAATCCATTGTAATTTTTCCTTCTCCTCAAACCTAGCCAAAACACAAGAATAATAGAGCAAAATCAATGGCTGGCGCACATAAGGCAATCTACACTCTAAGAACTGAGCTAAAAATATCCAGTCAATCACAGAGACCAGCTGAGACCCAGCCCTACTTCTACTACATTCTCAAGGCATACACAACTGCATTAACGTTCAACACAAAGCAAGTAACCAAGGTCAGAGTAATGCGGCACTGCACCATTAGTGCTAAGGCAGCTAAGCTTATGATAAGTCATGGGTTATGTTGGAGATTTCTACCTTTGAGGATTCAGAATGAAGAGAAAGCAGGGAGAGGAGAACTGTTTTAACATTAAGGCCTGCCTAAATAATTGTTCATGCAAACTGGTGCTATATAGCACTGCTAATAGCTGAATATTATTTGATTCTGGGAGAGCATATGATTATTTTTAAAATTATATGAAGCTAGCTGTATAGAGTGGTATTTAAACATAGTTTGTGTAGCTTTACTGCTAATTGTTAAAGTAATGTTCATCCTTACAAGGGGAAACCTGAATCCCCAAACCTTCACTCTAACTCAGCTCGGACTGAAAAATGATGTCCAATTCTTATTTCAACAGTGAAGCTCTTTTGTTCATGTTGAGGTTTACAAAACATAACAAGCAATCACTGTTCCTGATCACAACTTGCTGGCATAGTACTCCTTCCACATTCAGTGACTTCAGCAAGGAAGGTTCAGTGTTTGTTTGTTTTTTATCAGTAAGTAATCTGCATTCTTTGTTTCTGTAATAATCAGTAGTAGCATTTAAATCACTGCCCAATAAATTAACATTCATGAACACACACATACACACACCCACAGATGCAATATTCTAAACCAGAGAGAAAGCAAATGTACTTATTTTGTACTGTCTAATCATAAGATCAAGTGAGCATATGAAAAACCAACTGCTTTGAGTTTTTCCAAGTGTCTCTAGAAAATGATCAATTTTCGTAGTTGCAGAAATGCAAGCGACAGAATACTATTCTTCCCCATCAGCATCTTGGTTCTCTTATCTAGGATAACCTTAGATTACAGTTGGCTTCTTGCAAAAAATGAGACTGTCACTGGTTTCCAATTTAGTTTGGGATGCAAGTGTCCCATGACGCAGTGTCCCATAATAGTAAACCATTAGTCCTCTTCTTCTCTATGAACATCAAAGGTAAGAAAAAGCATTTGGTCAGAAGATTATGAAGGAAGATCTTGGAGGAAGAAGAAAAACTGAAGATAAATAAAAACTCAAAGCAGCATGGGAAAAAAGTTGCACCTGAACTCTGCCCAGTACAGGAGAGGTAATCACCAAAATGCATACCTATCTGATTAAAATAGCCTTGATGTCTCACCGCTAGTTCCTCATCACTGAACTTGAGGGTAATTTCAGAAGCTCTCTAATACACTGAAGATTAGGCAAGCAACATTGCAAGCCGAGTAAGAAAAGCAGCTTAGCTTGTTCTTGTGCTTTAATAGAGCCTCAATATGAAAGAAAAGCAATTGAATCTTTTTTATAACATGGAAGTAAATACCATAATACTGAACAAAGTCTAGTTTAAAAGCAATGTAATTTCTCAATTATCATTAATCGAACTATTGTGGTTTAAAGGGAAATTTATTTGTATTCTTGTTATGATACAACATAAGGCATGCGTGCAACAATCATGCACAGAGACTGTCGGATTTGCTAACGTACAAACTGATGTCAGGGCCTACTCATTGTCACTCTCTTGAATTGTTGGTCCATAGCCTCTAATAGAAATGTCAGGGACATTTTTTTCTATTTTGTTTCTGCTCTTCTTGCTATACAAGTATGCATACAGTAGAACTTATGCAAGACTAAAGACCCACTCAGGTTGATCAAGAAAGGTTAGCAACATATTGGATATACTTTAGAATTGGAGATGTTCAAGCATTCCAAAATGAAATAATGACAAGGACAAGAATATGAATCATATTCTGTATTTCCGGGAACTTCTGTTCTATAACCTCCTTAAAAGAATAGTTAGCATTTACACTTTATCTTCAATCATTCATGCAACATCTTACTTTCTCCCAAGAAGTCCTACTTTCCCTCAAGAAGTCTCAGAAAACAGAATTTTCCTCGCAATGTTGCCAACAGAGAGAAATATAATGCCAAAAATAACTATACTCATTTTCCCTACAAAAAATGAAGGAGCTGCAACCAATTTTTGACTTATAATGAAGGGCAAGATAAGCACTTAATCCCACATTAGAAAATTATTGAATACAGTAAGAATTCAAAAGTGGTCCCACTTTGATTAGGATAGATTACACTATACTTCGTTTAACTTGATACTTAATCCAACCCTTGAGATTTTCCCACTTGTTCAACATCTATTGTAGTACTTAAGACCATTTTTGTTTCATTATTTCTTTTTTCTGCACTGTGGAACATGTATGTTTTCATAATTTACTTTCCTTTCCTTAAGGACAGATCGATCGATCGATCTATCGATCTATCGATCTATCGATCTATCTATCTATCTATCTATCTATCTATCTATCTATCTATCTATCTATCTATCTATCTATCTAACCTTATTTTAGAATACCGTAGAAGACATATGTGCTGGTTTAGAAGATACTATACTGTTATATTATGTTTGCTTTTTCTAACGAACCAACAAAAATCTTTGTGCTTGTGGCAGGATATAAATTTAATACATAGATTTTCATATACACTGCTATTATTTTATATGTATGAAGACTTCTACAAATATGTGAGTTCTTCAGTTGTCTTTGATATGTCACAAGGAAAGAAATGCTAAATTGCAATCACAAGGCACAGCTGACACCAGCACTTAGGATGTCCTTTGATAATCTCTACAGTCATGATGCGTTCTCACTGCCAACAGAATTGGGTATAAATAAACTCCTGCAATCCAATGCCTCTTTGGGCTACTGCATGCTGAGATCAGCTGCAAGATTCAGCTGGTGTCCTGGCAATGCCATGTTGTTTAAGTCCAGTACAGCAGTCACCTGGGAAATGAAAAAAACAAAACAACCCAGGATTCTTTGCTACTGACAATAATAATGCATCCATCCAATTGTTTAGTAGCATAATTCATGATTACAATAGAATTAGCTCTTTAAACATGGCAATCTAAGTTAACAAGTTCAAACTTAATCACCATCTTAGCCCTGTCCTACAAGACAGTAGCCATGTTTTACTGCATGCATTTCCTGTCTGTCCTCATTCTGTATATCCTTTGTGTTTTCTCTCCACTGCTTTGAACATCATTTTTTAAAAAGGAAATTAGGTTGCTGTCACTGATATGACCCAGGTCATGTAAAGGATAAATAGTGAATCATGATCCATCAGTGTTAGACTAAAGGCCTCAGGCTCAAGAATTTTGTCCAAGCAAGTGCTGAGCCTCATTCACCTGTAATAACAACCAAGAACTAGACTAAATTGTGCTTGACTGCTTCTGTCAGCAAAGTATATTTTGTTTCTGAGTACAGTTTTATTCCTTCAGTGCTTTAAAAATATGAAGAAATACACATCTTTGGCCACATGCCTTGGAAGAATAAAACACTTAACAAAATGCAGGACAAGTGATATTTCTGATTTTTCTTTCTATCTAGAGCCGTAGGCAGGTAGATGGTACGGACTCCACTCTGAAAGGGACTGAATTTGAAATGTATCTTGAGTGGTCCACTGTTCATCATTTCCTTTTGCTGCTTGTGAAAGAAGTGAACTTTGTTCTAATTTTACCCAGGAGATTGCAAGAAAAGAAGCCACTGGGCCTTGGAAGGCGGCCAGAATAATGGTTGGGAATTCTGAACCATCTTTCATTCCAGACATTTCATTCATGTGCACTGGAGCAAACAAACAAAAAAAAAACCAGGAGTTCAGTAAAATCAGATC